CCCCCCCCCCCCCCGGGCTGAGCTACCCCCAGGCAAGCCAACGTTTCCAACATTTCCTTATAAAACTTGGCAAACCATGGGAAACATGAGAAACAAAACAAAAAACATGAGAAACAAAAAGTTGGCTGGGCTAGAAGGGGGACCTGCCTAGCTTGGTTTTCCTTTTTAATGTTAGGGTCATCCTCCTAGTTGGGCCAACTTTTCTCCATATAAACCCTTTGACGTTTTCAGGAAGGCCAACTCAGACATAGCCTGCATAGCTGGTGCTTGGAAGTAATGGGCGCCAAAAAAAATGGGGCACACGAGGGAGACACATAAGGGGAGAGGTAGCGTCTTCCTGAGAGGCACATGAGAATTATTTTTACTTGCTTTCTGAGAGTGCGGAAAATTCCTATTAGTTAAGAGGCTCCCGAGGCGATAAGTGTTTACATTAGGCGAGAAAACTGTCAATCACTCCCTCTCCTCCTGTATGTCTCCCTCACACACTCCATTCTTTTATTGCACCCATTTCTTCCAAGTGCCTGCTACACAGGCTAACTCAGACTAGGCGAGACAATCAGAGCATGTACGAGTGCTGTTTTAGTTAATCAGAGTATGGGCAAGCACTTTTGGCTTGTGCATAGGGGTTACCATGTTTCTCATATAAAGGCATGCTAAAGTTGACTTGGCCGGGAGAGTGCCCCTTTCCAGGGACAACTTGTCTCCATATAAACAGGCCCTCAGGCACATTCTTTTTTAATTGCAGCATCATTGCTTCCAACCCATATTAAAGGGAAGAAGCATCAAAGATTGTTAAACTTGAGACAAGAGCGAGAAAAGTCATGTAAGAAAAGCATTTATGTCCGTGGTTTTCAAAACTCAGGCTCAATTGAAGAAGAGTTGACTGACTATTTCAGCGCCTATGGAAAAGTCTCAAACATTTTTGTGGACAAAGACAAGGTAGATTTTTCCTTTCATTTTAGTGGATCAATTTAGTCAATAAATTCAGATTTACCGGTATAATATTCATCCCCACTTTTCAGATTTTAAAATTTTCAAACAACACTTTTTTTTTATCGTATTGTGTGTAATTTTCTAATTTTTTTATTATTCTTTATTCATGGAAATATAAATATACTACTGACATTTTTTTAGCCTTCTCCCTTTTTAGGCCCCCTTCTTTCATAACTCTCCTCTTAGGTTCAAGTTTGCAGTAAGCTATTCTTTTAGTTTATCCTGGTATAAGTCCCCTTCTAGTCTCCTATGCAGCTGCTGTCCTAACTTGGGAGGATTGGTACATAATGGAACAAAACAGGTGCACTGGAGACTAGTCTCTGCCTGAAGTAAATAAGTCCCCCAGATGTTAACAATATTATTTATTTAAGGTAACTATAATCTCCTCTCTATCACCTCCCACAGAAACGATATCATCTCAAACGACTACTTTTTTCACACTGGTCACATGAAGTCGTCCTCAGTGACGGAGAGAATTTACTTTTAGCAAATTGTCACTTTCTTTCTTGTCATTTGTTTCGGTTACTTCAGTACAAGAAACAAAAAATGAAGAAAAACAAACCTGATGGCTCACAGCATCATCTGCATAGACTATCACAAAACCAAGAAATAGCAGAATTTGTGCCAGAGGAACTTGTGGATAAAATCAAGTCATCTGTTAGCACAGTAGGTGGACAATGAGGTTTTAACTCCTTAACTCAACAAGTGCTCAAAGTTAAAATCTTCCAAAACATTCTTAATTTCATTTTGTGAAATGATGAAAAAACAAGTAGTTCTATGTGAATAAACTGCTGAAGAGGTTTCATTCGAATGATCACACCATATGATTTATCCACCACAGACTCAAAAGTTAGAGTCAGAGCACTTTTCATTTTTCAGAAATGGCCAGCCTGACCGTTCCTGTCATCATGAGAATCTCACTTTCAATCAAAACTGTGTAGCCAGGTCAGCCAAATCCTGGAAAATAGGCATAGGGTTGATGGGATTTTTGAGTGAAAACTCTTTAAAACACCTATTTCATTTTCAAAATGACAAGTCTGGCCGGTCAGTTCTAACTTTTGGAAATTACCCTTAGTCATCCACTTTAGGAGTGAGAAAGTTAATTTATTGTTTATTGTAATCACATTCACAGTACTATGCAAATCTCCAGCTACAAAAATGATAGTCCTAAGACTTTGATCTGTTTCACTCCGGTCATCTTGTCTGACTGACGGTGGGTATGATTTCATTTGACAAATTATAGCTGGTGCAGCAACCCAAAAGCAAGCAGTGCAACTAAAGCTTATAATTCCCTCCTAAGCCTCTTCTTACTGTGCCTTGGTGTTTCCTTACAGGTTCAAGAACAAATGAACTTATTAATGCAACAATTGTGTCTGACTGAAGGAGATATTAAGCTGCGAAAACTGGTCTGCCAACTATTGCAAGAAGTATTTTATGAGGTTTACCCTGAAGCATCAGTCGTGCCATTTGGCTCGACAGTCAGTGGAGTTGGCTGGGAAGGAAGTGACCTGGATGTTTGTTTACTGACACCTTCTCAACAAGATGATGCTGCTATAGACTACTCTTTGGTCATCGATGTGCTGCGTAGTTTTGCCCCAGGTTGCATAAACATTATACCTGTCTTAACTGCGAAGTGTCCACTTATTAAATTCACACATCAGCCGTCAGGCTTGTCTTGTGACCTTTCAGTTAATAACAGGTACGGTTAAGAGAAAGTGTGTTACGTTTGCATCAGAAGGATCAGTTTGCAAATTATTTTAACATGTCAGTCTATGTTTTGTGACCTATCCTTTTTGTTCCCTTTCTTGCAGGCTTGGTGTGGCAAACTCAGATCTCCTCCGTTGCTACATGTCGCTTGATCCCAGGGTTCCTCAGCTAGTGTTTATCGTGAGAGCCTGGGCAAGAGCCAAAGGTCTTACCGTTGGTAAACAGTTATCAAACTATGCCTTGACCCTCATGGTGCTGTATTTCCTGCAGATGCGAACTCCGCCTGTGATCCCGTCTCTTCAGCAAGGATTTGACAGTTGGATCAAAGAGCTGTCATGTTTGCATAACACAGGTGACAATGACCATCACACCCTGGTCGTTAAACAGCTTGAGTCTGATGTCATTGATGGCTGGGAATGTTCTTTTTTCAAAGACACTCACAGACTTTCTATGTCACAGAATGATACAAGTCTGAGTAAGTATGGCTGCTTAGGCAGCTTACCTGTTATTTTGATACAAAGTTGTTTTGATACAAGTTGCCATTCTACAGGGTTGTCACTAAGATTTCAAGTTGCCGGGTAAATACAACAAGTAGGCGGGGAATCAAATTGCTATGGATTTCTTTTGGTTCTATTTTTCTTCTATTGTCCAATAAAAGTAGCTGGGGCCACTCTCTTAATAGCCGGGGAAAATCCTTGGCCCCCGGCTCTTAATGACAACCCTGATCCTACATAAGGTAATCTGGATTCAGGATTTTGGGGATTTTTGCCAGTGGAATCCAGAATCCTGGGCTTTGGAATCCGGATTTCAGCTCACGTAAATCAGGAATTCTACTAATGAGTGGTATTCGGAATCAAGTTCCACCGACAAGGAATCCAAAATCCAGTTTGTGGAATCCATAATCCAAGACCATCTTGGATGGTTGCCGGTCGTTTTAATACAAAGTTGTATCGATACAAGTTTATTCATTCAAGGTGTAAATAGTTCCATGTACTTGGCTTAAAGAACGAAGATATTCACCGAAAATGTTTTTTGTTTACTCACAAACTATACTTGAAGTGAACAAAATTTCAAATTGAGTTTGTATCGAAACGACTAGTTTCCCCTTGGATTACCTTGCATGTGACGAAAGTCGATTCAGTTGAGGTTTAATAATTTCACGTAGTTGGTTTATAATGAGGAACTTTCACGTCATAAAAGTGATCGAAAATATCCCTGCAGTTCAACCCCCCTCCTCACTTCGGTACCCCCACTTCCTGATGTTTCGCTTCTTTAAAAGTCGTATCGAAACGACAAAGACAAATCAGAAGCACACGTTGAATATAGCCTACTCTGCAAGCATTCCTAGTGATCACACCTACAGGGGGGCGAGGGACTGGGGCACCGGGGTGGGCACCAGAAATCCTTGTTAAGTAGATAAGGATTTCATGATCTGAGGAATTTTTATTTAATTCACCTACAAGCAAACTTGTTCACAGCAAATTAATTCGGGCTTACTGATTGATTCGCTCTCTAAAGCAATACGCTCAATTTATTATAGAACGAGAAATCCAGCATTTCCTTTTGCGTCGCTAATGCAAAGCGCAGGTATTCGTTCATGAACAATTCTAATAGTTTTTTGTTCTTTCTGTGGGCTCTTCTCCAAAGGGGGAGCTAGATCAAAGATAGCGTTCATTTTTGATTTGGCGGGTTATTTAGCAGCGACTTCCTCTGCGGCCGCTTTTTTCGGTTTCTCCTTATTCACGTTATGACAAACGCAAATTTGTTCCACGTGACCAAGTTTTCCCTTTACTCGTCTACTCTGCTTTACTTCTACAAACAATAATAGGTACATTTACGTTATTTTCATCCATAAGAATTGTTTTAGACTGTTTTTAACAGCTCATTTTCTATTATGATAAATTCTCAACTTGAGTTTGCCGTTAACGTTACCCCAAATCTCTCTATCATTCAGATTGGGTTTAACGCAAGATAGCCCACTTTCTAATTCCCGATGACTTATTCTTCGACATTCGAAAGTAAGCGACAGCTTCTACGAGAAACACTCTCTTTTACACTTCTAACGCCACAAATCAGGAAAGTCGTTTCGAAATCTATCGATAATTTAATACAGGCAGTCGTAATCAGGAAAAATATCAGTGAGACATTCTAACGTTTTCTGCGTTTGAGCCAAGTAACAAGGAGCTTTCGATCAGCTTTTAGCTGACGAGAAAGAGTGTAATGTTTTTTTGGAAACAGTTCTGCTTGTGACTAAGCTTTGGCTTGTGTGTTCTGTTATTTTTGTCTGTGGCGTTGTGAGGATTCCTGAAGAACTGGAATTTCAAATTTTTTATTAGCGTTATTGGTTATTGCTTTTGTTTATTTGGTGGCTCCTAAAGGAGCCGTTGGTTTTATAAAAAGCCAATGCACTTATGCTCGTTCTCCGCGGATTCGGCGGGCCAGCTGAATGTCCTTGGGCATGATGGTGACACGCTTGGCGTGGATGGCGCACAAGTTGGTGTCTTCAAACAGACCAACAAGGTAAGCCTCGCTAGCCTCTTGAAGAGCCATCACAGCAGAGCTCTGGAAGCGCAGATCGGTCTTGAAATCTTGAGCGATTTCTCGCACAAGACGCTGAAAGGGCAGCTTGCGGATCAACAGCTCAGTGGATTTCTGGTAACGACGGATCTCTCGAAGAGCGACTGTGCCAGGCCTGTAACGATGAGGTTTCTTGACGCCACCAGTAGCGGGCGCGCTCTTACGGGCTGCTTTTGTGGCGAGCTGTTTTCGTGGGGCTTTTCCACCGGTTGATTTACGGGCAGTTTGCTTTGTGCGAGCCATGTTTGAAAACTTGGAGTCAATTGGAGAGACTGAATTATCGTTGAATAGACTCCCAAAAACTTTATACCTGGCGCGTTTCATTCTGATTGGCTGAAATGTTTGCTCTGTGATTGGTGGAATAAGACTGACTTGGTGTACCATCGGCAATTTTCGATCCTAAATCATTTTTTGCTTGTTTAAGTTCTTTGATTCTGACGATAATAAGCCAATGCGAAAAAATTTTATGTTTGCAACAATGTTATAAATCGCTGCATTTCTCGTGCCAAAAATGCATCATATTTCTGCAAATCGGGAGCACAACTGTCCATCACGGTAAACTACTTTAGCAAATTATGCGCATATTTCACTTGTCATAATATTTGCCCTCTGTTTAACTTAAATATCGCTTTTGTTATAATTGAACCAATGGAAAGGCCTCTAAGTTTCCAGCGAGGTCCTCTTTGCTGTCATATAAAGCCGAAACGAGGCTTTTCTGGCACAATTCGATAAGAGAGCACTAACATTCAGTCAATATGTCTGGTCGTGGCAAAGGAGGCAAAGGTCTAGGAAAAGGAGGCGCCAAGCGTCATCGAAAGATCCTTCGTGATAACATCCAAGGCATCACCAAGCCGGCTATCCGCCGTCTTGCTCGCCGTGGCGGTGTCAAGCGAATCTCTGGCCTCATTTACGAAGAAACCCGTGGCGTTCTTAAAGTTTTCCTCGAGAACGTCATCCGCGATGCTGTAACGTACACCGAACACGCCAAGAGAAAGACCGTGACAGCCATGGACGTGGTGTACGCTCTCAAACGCCAGGGACGTACTCTGTACGGATTTGGTGGTTAGACTACACTGCCTACACTCACATCACAAACGGCTCCTTTAGGAGCCACCAAATCCTTAAAAGTCATGACCAATAAAGTTTGCTAGTCTTTCTCTCTTAAGTCTTTTGAAAGTTCCAGAGAGGGCATCGCAGAAATTGGCTAAATTTTTGAACAAAGTATTGTCTATAACTGGTCGATGATTAGGCTTTTTGGTTAAATTTTTGTACACTTTCCCTCGGCTAAATCGTCCCTGTAACGGCTACTACTGGGGGAAAGTTTTGTCGTGTTACCGGTCGTTTCGATACAAAAACGTTTCGTTACAAGTTTTATTCCGTCGAGTTGTAAATAGTTTAACGAACTTATTCACCCAAAGTGCTTATCTTTTTCACGCGCAAACTTTACTTAAAGAGATCGAAATTTTTATGTAATTTCACTGCTCAAGTTTGTATCGAAACGACCGGTTTGTCGGTTCTAAAGGGACACCCAAGTACTTCGCCCTTCAGGAACGATCCTTAGTGAGATTTTGAGTAGTTTTGGAATCTATACCCCTTGCATGCGTGTTTTCACTATAACAAGTTTGTAAGACCTTTACGTCGATACTGTGAGCTTTTTATAAAAGTTTTTACTTAAGTGATGAAATTCTTGTAAGGCCCACTTTTTCAAGGGGAAGTTAAACAATGTTGGCGACTTTGCATCTATGCTGTGAGCTTTTTATAAAAGTTTATACTTAAGTGATGGAATTCTTGTATATAAGAACCCCTTTTTCAAGGGAAAGTCAATCAATGTTGGCGACTGTCATGATCGATCCGGAATGTTTTTCTTTTCAGTGGAAAAGTTTATGAAAGGTTTTCCGTCTAAGACTTTGGTCAAATGTGGAACTTTCTTGGAAGTTTTACCGTTCTGTGATCAATGTGCAACGAAAGTTCACTCCCTGTATTAAGGTAGCGTCCATTTGCACGCTAAAATGGTACTAAATTTGCATTTGAATAGTCCTTATCTTTTCACGAGCTAATGCTCAAAGAAAATTATCTTACGGCCGGAAATGATGCGGCTACTAGTTCTCTTAATTTACACAAAGAGAGAAAAGTTACTTAAAGTTGTTTTAAAATCGGTCAGTTTTCCGTAGAATTTTTCTCCTTGGCCATCTGTCAAATGTGGAAAGGTTTCCCACTCTGTAAACAACGTGTAAGGAAGGAGCTCTTTTCCTAACGAACTCACATCAATTTGCGCGCTCAAACTTGCACTAAATTTGTATTTGAACAGTCCTTATCTTTTCATAAGTTACTCAACGTTGCCTTAAGTTCTGTCCAATTTTCCTTAGAATCTGCATAAACCGGCTTTGCAGACGGTCAGCTATTCTTGAAGTGTCCTCTGTGATCAACGTGTAACGAAGGAGCTCTTTTCCTAACGAACTCACATCAATTTGCGCGCTCAAACTTGCACTAAATTTGCATTTGAACAGTCCTTATCTTTTCATAAGCTAGTTAACGTTGCTTTAAGGTCTGTCCAATTTCCTTAGAGTCTGCATAAACTGGCTGTGCAGACGGTCAGCTATTCTTAAAGTGTCCTTCGTGCATCTTAAAAGGGAAATTTTGTACTAAAATAAGTTTTCAAGATTTTGGCGCTTGAATTTCCTTGTACTAGTCCTTAGGTAGTCCTCTTATAAAAAACTTTACTTTTGGTTTTAATTTCTGGACTAATGGTAATTGATAACTGAGTATTGGTCATGACTTTATAACATATGGTGGCTCCTAAAAGAGCCGTTTGTGTTTTGAAAGCTTAAGTTTAAGCTTTCTGCTTCTTCTCGGTCTTCTTGGGCAACAGCACAGCCTGGATGTTGGGAAGAACGCCTCCTTGGGCGATGGTGACACCAGCGAGCAGTTTGTTCAACTCCTCGTCATTTCGGACGGCCAGCTGAAGGTGACGGGGGATGATTCTTGTCTTCTTGTTGTCACGAGCAGCGTTGCCAGCCAACTCAAGGATCTCAGCGCTTAAATACTCCAGCACGGCGGCCAAGTAGACCGGGGCACCGGCGCCAACTCTCTCAGCATAGTTTCCTTTGCGAAGAAGACGGTGGATTCGACCAACAGGAAACTGAAGCCCTGCTCGGGATGATCGGCTCTTGGACTTCGTGCCCTTTGCCTTTCCTTTACCGCGACCAGACATATCGAAATTTAATAGTAGTGTTCAGAGTAGTGTTCTGAGCAGTGTTATAGGGAAATGAATGACTCAAAATTTGGCGGTCTACAAGATTTATAGCACCATCCCTTTTCATTAGGATCGAAACGCACCAATCAAAGTCCTCTTTCGTTTTTGAATTTCAAATAACCTTTGTAAGAAAGAAAATGACATGCACAGTAGACACAGTAACTTCAACTCGTCGTTTAGAATTGAAAAGAGCAGTGTGTGCCCAGTGGAACATCCAATCAGAAAGCAAGGATTTCGATCCGTATGATAATCGATCATTTCGTTATTTTGGTATAAATACAAGATGGATCGCGTTGGCTGAGCATACCCATACAACAAGCATGGCACCCAAAGTTGCAGGAAAGAAAGGCGAGAAGAGAGCCGGAAAGGCAAAGGCTGCAGGAGAAAAGAAGAAAAGGAGGGGAAAGAGAAAGGAAAGCTATGCTATCTACATCTACAAGGTGTTGAAGCAAGTTCACCCTGACACTGGTATCTCCAGCAAAGCCATGGGCATCATGAACTCGTTCGTGAACGACATCTTCGAGCGCATCGCGACCGAAGCTTCCCGCCTTGCCCACTACAACAAGAAATCAACCATCAGCTCCCGCGAGATCCAGACCGCCATCAGGTTGCTTCTGCCCGGTGAACTGGCGAAACACGCCGTCAGTGAAGGAACCAAGGCTGTGACCAAGTACACCAGCAGCAAGTAAACTCTCTGCGAGGGTTTACCGCCAAAAACAAGGGCTCTTTTAGGAGCCACCAAACCTTAAAAATGCAATAACCAACAGACCTTTTTCTCGTCATTGATAAAATCCTAACCAAAAGAAGACACTAAATAGCGGTAAAAATTAAAACAAAAAATCGTTTTCAGTTATCTCTTGCGACTTCTCGTCTAAGACGAGTATTCCATTTTTCTCGCTGCAGCGTCAGTTCTTCGTAACAAGAATGAACCTCCAGGTTTAAATGAACACGGAACACAACCAGAGTAAACGGTTCCAAGAAATTTGTAAGGGTTAAAAGAAATGGTTCGTGCTTTTTGACCTAACACGGCTGAAAATCAAACGTTCCTCTATTCTTTGTAGAGTAGCTACCGATGCGATGTACTGCAGGCGCTTTTGTGCTGTTAGAAAAATAAAAGCGCGATCAACAAACATGAACCCTCGACACGGCATTTTTGTTCTTCATTATTTTTTTATTGAATATTCTCTTGCTTATTTTTTAAGTGCCACGCAGCTTATCGGAATTTTTTTTCGTTTTTTTTTTTCGCACCATACCGGATTGCTTTTGCGCCGCCAAGAGAATCATACCGCATGCAGCTTCTATTCACACACAAGAACGTTTGTGGAGGCGCGATTTCTGTAACGGAGCGAAGCTGCGCCGATTTCGAATGTGGAACCGCCTTTCATCGTCCCTTTTTGTTGGGAAATTTTCTTTTCTCTGCATAGTTTGTTCGACGGTAGATTTTTTCATTAGTCATGGTTGAGAGCATTCGTCAAACAGTCTAAAGCTAGGGTGCGTGAGGCTCGCGCGCGAAGCACGCGAGAATTCACACTCATATACACAGCTGGTAATACATTTGCCCTCAGAAAATGAGCGTAGGGTAAACAATTTTTTTTTTCATGTGTCAATTAAATTTCTTCGTTTATATGTTTTCTTCAGGTCAGTTATTAGAGGAATTCTTTTGCTACTTTTCAACCGAATTCAACTTTTCTGGCTCTGTAGTGAATATAAGGACTGGATGTTGCACCAGTACCGCCTCTGTGCTAGAGGAGCTGAAAGGTGCAAAATATTCAGGAAGTAATACAACAACTTCATTTGGTTTAAACGAAGACAGTGTTGGTCAAAGAGAAGACTTCATAAGAAATGATTCCACTGCAGATGAGTGTCATCAGAAAGCTCAACCAAGTTCAAGCACTGCAAGCTCTGCTATGAAAACAAAATGCGGCAAGCGAGTAGAGTTTAAAATCTCGCCTTTGTGTGTTCAAGATCCGTTTGAGTTGACGCATAATTTGACTCAAAACGTGCCTGGTTCTTTGCTGAAACATATCGTAGAACTAATGAAGGACGCGCACAAGATTTGTAGCGAGATAAACAACCGAAAGGAAAAGAAAATCTCGTTGCTTGACTTGTTAACTGTTTGTAAGACTACCAAGAAACGAAGGAGCACAAACTGTCACTCTTTCTTTTTCTCGTTTCACGAAGCAGGCTCTCTGAAGCTTGCTACGTCCAAGAGTGTTTTAATGTTTATTGTGGAAACTTTAGAAAAAGAATTTGGCTTGAAATGTGAACGAAAGGGAAATTCAGCGAAAAGACAGCGCAGTTGTGAGCAACAGTCAGAAACGCCGTTGTCAAAGAGACAGCGGATTGACTGGCAGTGCTCGGTGATGTCACAGGATACCCAAGTGAGTAAAGAATCACAGGACACTGACTCTGTCAATGGGACGTCTGGTTGCGTTGTGAAATCAACAAACACAGATAAGCAAGAAAACGTCAAGAAAACAGAATGCACTGATGACAATGGTGAAATTTTTTCATTAATTTGCACGGCCTTTGAAAATACGTGGACGCATTCTCGTCGAGAAAGGCGCAAGCATAAACTATCGCAGAATCAGATGAAAGAAAGAGAAAAAACTGAGGGAGAAGAAATAAAAATACCCGCTGACGATTCACAAGTGAAGTCAGGAACAGTTTCTCAAGAAATATGCGAGGCATCATCTTCGTCCACTCACTCGGCGTCAATACAGTTCGAGGGTTCTAAAAATGTCAACAGCATTGCTTCTCCAATTCTGGTCTTTGAGCTTAGGGTGGAAGGATCACCGCAGAATACTCCAAATGTGGCTGGTTGTACTGTTGTGATGGAACATGTTGAAAGTCAAGACTTTCAGCTTTTTGGGAACTTTTTCTCGGCTTTTAAAAGACATTTTATGGGATTATTACAGAATAAGCAAGCATGTTCTTAATGTCTCAGAGGCTATCTATGGTAGTATTAGTAGGTTGCATTGTTAAGGGCGTGGTTTTGTTGGTGCCGTTTTATACCTTTTGTAAGTGATTGGTTTCCAGTTGTTATAAAAAGCCGTGGTTTTCCGCTTTCCGTATTTGCGTCTACTTTATTATTACCGATATGTTCCATTGCAAAGACAGATGCAAATAAGATGCATTATTATAAGTACAAACGAAAATTAACTGCTCAGGAACTTTCATAAGAATTTGATCCACAGATTCAAAAGTAAGAACCAGCTTATGCAGCATAATTAACAGTACCACAGGAAAGTACTTCTCAGTAGCTTTCATTTGATAAAAAATGTCAAAATGTAAAATGTTAAAAGCAAGTTTGCAAGTTATTCAAATAAAAGAGAAAGACGAAATGTAGTCACAGAACAATTTTATTAATGATCTTTAAATTAAATTTACAATTTTTAAAATGTACTTACACTGAACTTGATATAATAATATTTTGAAACAATTTATAGTTAATACTTCAAAACATTTGTGGAACAAACATTCCTACAAATAAACATTTTCTTGAATCTAATGTTGTATGAATTGTACAAAGATGTACCTTCCTTGAAAATATTCAGAGCATTTCCTGTCTTGAATGCTCTTTAAAAATTCTAGAAAAATGTCTAGCATAACAAACAATAGAATTTTGAATTTTGTTAACATAAACTACCTATGTGTTACAGAGCATTTTTTTTTAAATCTGCATGTTCAACATGCCTTATTTATTTTCATGATACAGTGGAATCCCAATTCCTCAAACCTGGGGACAATTGAATAAACATTTTACGAGTGTAATTTTCAAGTGTAGCTACTATTTTAGAACCTGAAAACAATAGCCACACTTGCAATTTGGAAATGAGTTCTATTGTTCAAAGGGCGATCAAATAAATTGATTAATTACCATGACATTAACTCATACATTCTGTTTACAGTTCACCCAGAAACTACAGTCTGAAAGTAGGAAAAGTTAACAGGAAAAGTGTTATGTTTGGCTGGTTAAAAGAAAAAAGTGATGCTTGAAAATGAGCAGAAAACACAAAAATAGAGGAGTAGAAAAATTGGGATTGCACTATTACTACAAATAGTTTAACTGCTGATAGTAAAATACGACAGTGTAAAACCTCCAAAGCATTGCCTAGGATTTCTAAATTTAAATAAATTTTTCCAATCAAACAAAGACGTGAGAGAAAAATGGGCTCCTATATGGGAGTCAGAATAAAGGGGGCCTTTAAAGAATGGACTGGGACAGAAAAAAAGTTTTACGCGACCTGTTCTTACTTGATGGTTTCTCAGTTTGTCTCATCCTCCTTGATAACGTATTTTCCATACTCCCCAAAACATGGAGCCCACAGTTTAGAGAGAACGCTTTTACCCTATATCTCTGATGGATAAAATGTGATCACCCATGGGTATTCATAAGATAAAATTCAGGAAGTGATTGGTTATCATCAAAATACAATACTCTATCTTAGTAGAATAAATATAATAATGTAATAATGTGGTACTTGTCCCTTTCACTCCCAAGACTATCACCAAAAATATTGTTAGTTATACTATTGGAAAATGCTAAAAATCATAAGGCATTAAACGTACTACCAGAGGGGATAAGTTTTGATGGTGACATCTTAACCCTTTCACTGCCAGAGTGAATATGGAGTCTTGTAAGGTGTTTTTAAATTTTGACTCTGTGGACGAAATCCTATGAAGTGACCATTCAAATGAAACCTCTCTACCTGTAATTTCACATGGTGCTATTTGTCTTTCAAAATTTTACAAAATGAAATTTATGAATTTTTGGTGAATTTTGCCTTTGGCCATACTTGGCAGTGAAAGGTGTTAATTAGGATTTTATACTCAGAAATCAAATGCTGCAAACACAGTAGATGTCTTTTTCATTGACTCTGGGTGTGAAATGGCCAAGGCCTGGGCCAAATGAGCATGAATGGAGTGAGATTGGATCTACTGTGTGCCCTAATCAGAACAGTGTGGTGATTGGAGCCAATAAGAGACCTTACGATACATTGTTAAGACATCTAGAACATGCGGAAAATAAAACTATAGAAACTTAGAAAGGCGCTAATGAAGATGAAACAGCAAAGAAAGGCTAACGAGGGCGCGAAAACTGACAGAAAGGAATAAACACCTAAATTAACGCCAAAAAAAAAGACTAAACAAAAGGACGAAAAGAAGTATAAACTAATTTGCAGGAAAAACAAATTACGCGAGAACGAATAATAGAAAAAATGTTACACTTGGATCTAACAAAGGGCGTGGTTTTTGTCTGTGCCGCTTTCTACCTTTTGTAAGTGATTGGTTTCCAGTTGTTATAAAAAGCCGTGGTTTTCCGCTTTCCGTATTTACGTCTACTTTATTATTACCGATATGTTCCATTGCAAAGACAGATGTAAATAAGGTGCATTATAATAAGTACAAACGAAAATTAACTGCTCAGGAGCTTTCATAAGAATTTGATCTACAGATTCAAAAGTAAGAACCAGCTTATGCAGCATAATTAACAGTACCACAGGAAAGAACTTCTCAGTACCTTTCATTTGATAAAAAATGTCAAAATGTAAAATGTTAAAAGCAAGTTTGCAAGTTATGCAAATAAAAGAGAAAGAGGAAAAGTAGTCACAGAACAATTTTATTAATGATCTTTAAATTACATTTACAATTTTTAAAATGTACTTACACTGAACTTGATATAACAATATTTAGAAGCAATTTATATTTGATACTTCAAAACATTTGTGAAACAAAAATTCCTACCAATAAACATTTTCTTGAATCTAATTTGTATGAATTAATTGTACAAAGATGTACCTGTCTTGAATGCTCTTTAAAAATTCTAGAAAACTGGCTAGCGTAACCAACAATAGAATTTTGCATTTTGTTAATATAAACTACCTATGTGTTACGGTGCATTTTTTTTAAAATCTGCATGTTCAACATGCCTTATTTATTTTCATGATACAGTGGAATCCCAATTTCTCAAACCTGGGGACAATGAATAAACATTTTACGAGTGTAATTTTCATGTGTAGCTACTGTTTTAGAGCCTGAAAACAATAGCCACACTTGCAATTTGGAAATGAGTTCTATAATCGGGTACAGGTTGTTGAAAAGGCGATCAATGTAAATTGATTAATTACCATGACATTAACTCGTACATTCTGTTTACAGTTCATGCAGAATTAGTGCTAAAGTAACTACAGTCTGAAAGTTGGAAAAGTTAATGAAAAAGTGCTATGTTTGACTGGTTAAGAGAAAAAAGTGATGCTTGAAAATGGGCAGAAAGCTGAAAAATAGGGGAGAAGAAAAATTGGGATTGCACTATTACTACAAATAGTTTAACTGCTGATAGTAAAATACGGCAGTGTAAATCCTTTAAAGTATTGCCTAGGGTTTCTAAATTTAAAGATATTTCTCCAATCAACATAAGCCTCTTCCATACGAAAATCAAACAAAGAGGTGGGGAAAAACATGGGCTCCAAAATGGGGTTCAGAGAAAAAGGGGCCTTTAAAAGATGGAAAGGGACAGAGAGAAAATTTTATGTGACCTGCTCTTATTTGATCGTTTCTCAGTTTGTCTAATCCTCCTTGATAAGGTCTTTTCCATACTTCCCAAAATATGGAGCCCAAAGTTCACAGGAGAGAACGCTTTCACACTATATCACTGGTGGATAAAATGTGATCACCCGTGGGTATTCACATGATAAAATTCAGGAAGTGATTGGTTATCATCAAACTATAATACTCTATCTTAGTCGAATAAATACAATGTGGTACTTGTCCCTTTCACTCCCAAGACTATCACCAAAAATATTCTAAGATATATCATTGGAAAATGCTAAAAATCATAAGGCATTAAAAGTACTGCCAGAGGGGATAAGTTTTGATGGTGACATCTTCACCCTTTCACTGCCAGAGTGAATAATGGAGTTTTGTAATGGGTTTTTAAATTTTGACTCTGTGGATGAAATCGTATGGAGTGACCATTCAAATGAAACCTCTCTACCTGTAATTTCACATGGTGCTATTTGTCTTTCAAAATTTTACAAAATGAAATTTATGAATTTTTGGTGAATTTTGCTTTTGGCCATATTTGGCAGTGAAAGGGGTTAATTAGGATTTTATACTCAGAAATCAAAAGTTACAAACACAGTAGATGTCTTTTTCATTGACTCTGGGTGTGAAATGGCCAAGGTCTGGGCCAAATGAGCATAAATGGAGTGAGATTGGATCTACTGTGTGCTCTAAACAGAACAGTGTGGTGATTGGAGCCAATAAGAGACCTTACGATACATTGTTAAGACATACAGGTAGGCAATCATTCTTGCCATGAAGGTATATAAAAAGAGACCACAATTTCTCAGATGTAGTAATGGTGCCACTGTTCTTCACTGTAGCAGAGCCATGTTTCCTCAGGATATGAGGTGGTCTAACCATATTTACGGCTAGCTATGGGTACAGGAAAATAAATCATACCCTACACTCGGAAGCAGTGTACCTGAAAGTCTCTATTACCTCCAATATTATGGGTATTTTAAAAGCAGACAGAGCGATTTTCATGTGACCTTGAAATGAAAATGCGCGAACATAACAGAAACAACAAACGCATGGAAATAGAGCGATTTGATTGGTTTATCAAACGGATTTAAACGCACATGGCTTTTGGTTGGTCAAGCAAATGCTCGGGTGAAAAAACTTCATGCCCGAGAACTTTCTAGAAATCAACCGATACTTTGCTTTGATGTCATACTGCAACACGATTGGCCAATCAAACAATGCTTTCTAAATATTTGGGCTTTCTTTGGCGGGAAAATGAAGAGGCCATGTTTTGATCTTTTCCTCCTCTGGCTGATAAAACAAATAACGAACACTTACCGAAACCATTTTTCAAGGTCATATGAAAATTGCTCTAACAATACCTACTGGATAGATTTATAAAAACTTAGAAAATAAGCACGTTCCTATTTGGCCTCAAATTCACCATAGCATTGTCTTTATCACTCTCTCAATCTCTCTCACATGGCCCAACTTAAATAATGATGGAATGATAAATTATGTGATAAATATAAGCTCTTCTGTGGACAACTCTGGTATTGGAATCAGAGAAAACTTGTCACCTTTTCCAATACAGCGAGATGTCTTAAGGCAGAATGACAACAATTCACTTCAAAGAAATGAAGGCTTTCTTATGTAACTCTGATTTCTAAAATCTGCAGATTAGCTGGCTTCTCAGCACAGCTGGCTAACTGAGATGTTTTTAAATCCAAACTCAAATATATTATTCTCTGAATGAGTGAGTTGTTCACACAATCTCCCTTGAACAGGGAAAAAAAAGAAATCTTTAAGAATATACTTGACCTATTCCTTCCATACGAACTTTTTGATTTAAACTTTACAAAATGAAGTAAAGTATTTGAACCTTTCAAAGGTTAAATTCCTGCTGCAGCATGACAACTGAAGGGGACAGCATGTAGAATGCTCCTTCTTCAGAGTTATGCAAAACTACATCTAGTTTCCACAAAAATAATGAGCAAAAATATTTTTGCAAAATGTTCCCCTTTTTGGAATTACTGACAGTGCAAAAGGGAACTTTTAGTTACCAATTTTATTGGCTGTATGTAATCAGGGCCACACACACACACACACACACACAACACACACCTAGATATGACTGAACAACAAAAGTCATAAATGAAACATTTTAACAGCTTGTTGCTGCAACTTGCTCAGAGTGAGTAAGTGGTTCACAGCTGAAGTGAAACCAACTGTATTTGGCAAAAATAAATAAACTCACAATCATTCTAGTATATCAATCTTCCCTTATTATAACTAATCATTTTCTAGCTTAAAATTACTGAGGATAATTCAGGTAGTTCAAATAGATCAATTTTGATATATTAAAAAATACATACTTGGCTTCAGGGTTTGGGGTTCATCCCTGATCATCAAGCTGATTTCTGGTGTTTTATTCCCTGAAGTTTTGAGGCCAAGTACGAAACTTAATAAATTGAAATTATTGGTGTCACTGATTATGGCCTGGTTCAGGTACTGCCCACTCAAGTCCCAACCCTAGGAAATAATTTGGGTGGAGCGGAAGAACAATCATTCTAATGTACTAGCATGTGATGGTAAGTTCAGCAGTTCTTGCGGCAATTCAACAAAGGAGATGGATCAAACTTAATTTCCGACAATGTTAACCACCTCTTCTCATAGTGAGTCTGCCTGATAGGTTTTCAGTGATATGTTCTTCCATTTGACCCAGGGTGCAAAGAAAGTCAGTCTCTACAGCCTGCCATTCAGGCAAGCGGTAGCTAGCTTGTACTAACCCACAAGTCATTCAACTAGCCCAAAACCCTTTTTGATTACAATCCTTCTGTAATTTGAATTTCCCCAAAAAACAGCACTTGCCCATCAGGCAAGTTAAGGACAAAAATCACTAGCCCAATAACAAAACCCACTAGCCCTGCGCTATCGGTCAGGACTTTCTATGCACACTGGTTTGACCCAAGTAAGCCATTTGAATTATTGGTAGTTGCTCATAAGTCAATCATAAATAAAATAATCAGATGAAGCTCACAGAACTTTATGAAAATTAACAAGTTCAGCACAAGAGTGGTGTAGTATTTGAAGTGGGTCTAACACCCTCATATCTTAACGCACTTGATATTGCAAAATTCAGGCACTAATTTGGACTTTTGGTAAAATGTCACCATGGATATACAAGTAATGTTGATAGTGGTTATGGAAGTTATGCATCTAAGTATGATGAACCCGTGGTAGTACAGAAACCCCGACCCCGCCTTGATGCATACCCATTGAAGCAACAGGAGTCCACTTGTTGGAAAGCACATCAAAACATTCCACGGTGTTGAGGTTTGATAGGCCGTCATATCCACCAATGGCATACAACCTTCCTCCAAGTGTTACCACAGCTACTCTGCTACGTCTGGTATTCATTGGGGTTGTGAAAGTCCACTGCCCAGTCTCTGGATCAAAGCACTCTACAGTGTTAAGAAAAGTACTGCCATCATAGCCTCCACATACATATATCCGCCCATTAAGGGTGGCCACACCCACCCTGCATCTGCGCACGCCCATTGGAGGACTGGAGGACCATGAGTCTGTTTTTGGGTCATAAACTTCCACTGTGTTGAATATGGATAGACCATTATGACCGCCGATTGCATAGATCTTTCCATTCAGCTCGGTGACTCCTGCAGCACTACGAAGTGTTCCCATTGGTGTGACAAAACTCCACATGTTACTTTCTGGTGAGTAACATTCAACTGTGCTGAGCGAGATGTGACCATCATATCCACCCACGACATATACTCTGCCATTCAGAACAACTGCACCCAGGGCACTACGGCGAGTGTTCATTGGAGTGATGGCTTTCCATGACTTTAGCTGAGGATCATAACATTCTACAGTGCTTAACCTCTTATGCCCATCAAACCCACCCAGGGCATAAAGTTTGTTATCCAGGACAGCTACACCGACCCGGGTGCGCAGAGTGCTCATGGCTACACCAGGGAGCCACTGACCTGTCAAGGTATCATATGCTTCTACTGTGCTAAGAGCTTCACCTGACGATGTCAGACCTCCAATGGCATAGATCAAGCCTGCAGCTTCACTACATCTTCTTGGTTTGGTGCGGACCGACTGTAACTTAGATCTTCGCTCTGGCATCAGCAGGTAGTCTTTCGCTTCGTCCACTAGATCGCGACATGCTAAATTATTCTTGATTAGCTCGTTGCTTGAAACCTTGTCGCATAGATACTGCGGACTTATTAACGGCAGACGAACGTTCTTTAACAGTTCTGGTAGAAAATCCTTTCTTTCATCTACCTCTCTACACACCCAAGCTGAAATAGCTTCAAAAACCTCCTCCTCGGTGCGGACATTTAATTCTTCCCGCGAAATCATCTCCACGACGTCTTCGGGGGAAAGAGTTAAAAACTCTTCACTTCTTGCCACCTCGGAGAAGTTCTTCACGGCAAAAACATCGGCTGCTTCTACAAGATCCACGCAAGAATACGTGTCCGCAAAAGACCGGATGCCAAGACAATTTGTCGGATGAAGAACACGATGAAGAAACTGCACGCAAGCTTGCTTCACGCTCGCCAACTGAAGCAGACTGGACGCCGACAACAGGTTCTGTACATTGCCTGCATTTATCTCTATCCTTCCAGTGTAGCAGAAATTCACGAGATCTTCTAAGGCTGAAAATTCGACATCGAACAAAGTGACCTCATCCTGCCGGCTCTCCTTCATATCTCCAGTAAACATAGCATTGAAATAACTGCTCGCAGCAGCGAGAACAACGCGATGGGATTGTAAATTGCATTCGCCAACACGTAGATAAATGTCGCATAGCTTGCCCTCTTTTCTAAGTTTGTGGAGCCCCGAGAAAACTTGTGTAGAAAACTCGGGCACGCAGAAAAGCAAACTTTCCTCTGACGCCATGTTGCTAAATGAGTCGCTTTGGCTGACATGAGCAATTATCACGTGATCTTGACAGGTGTTGTTATGACAAACTGACGCGTTAGAGCGATTACCGATGTCAATCAAACACCTACTTGACATGTTGATTGACAGGTATCAATAACAGTACCGTATTGCTAAACACTATCAGCACACCTATTCAATATCGCCTGCGAATTTTTAATTTCACCCAAGCGTTTTCTAAATTAAACAGGATCTTTCTAAAATTTCTTTTCATCAAATATATTTCATTAGCAGTATTTCTTTACATAAAGATGCTGTTTTTGGCAGATTTTATTTTGCCTCTCCCCTAAGTTTCTAACTAAATATTGAAAAACAAACATTCAGTTCAAAAGATATTGCGATAATTTTCAATATGATTATAGTCTCTGTGAAAAAAATATATATTATTTTTATATGAGGCAATACTTTTTCAGCAAACCAAATTCAATAATTTCAAACTACAAGATGAAAAATTCTGATCATAATAATTATTTTATTTTGAAGCTACAAAGTATCTCTCACATTTGTCCAATGTATATTTCTGAGCCTGAAAATTTGCATTAAAGGTGAAGGAATTTAGGAAGATATTTCACCAAATGTTAAAATGATAGCTTATGTTGTTCTAGATCACTCATTTAATCACTCATCAGCACTTTTCTTTAAATCCTGCAGCCAGCTTTTAAGTTGTCTTCCTTGAGTTGCATACTCCCAATTGAGAGCGTATGAAGCAAGAGAATCATTATAGAGACAAGAACACCCAAACTGCACATTCACACTACCATATTACTGATATTTTTATTTACATGTGGATCAAAACAATATTGGAAGTTGTATTCCAAATTTATGTCCTTTATTGATTCTTGGTGTCATAGAATCCACCTTTGTCCCCAAATATCTCACCAAAGGAAAAAACACCTGTCATCCCCCCAAAAAAACAAAATAGATAAATAAAAAAATCTCTAGGATTTGCTCAAAGTCTGAATGACTATCTAGCATTGGAAGTAATGGTTTTAGACTTGCTAAGTTGACCTGGCGAGCTTGACGAGCAAAGCAAGCTTTTTTAGGCCGCAAAATGGGTTCTGAGAGTGCTTTGTCACCACTGCCATGGTAACCACATGCACAGTACTTTTGAAAGAGCCTCCAAAATAAACACACTTTTTTTTGTAAATACAACCTCAAAAATATCAACTCCCAATATTGCTTTTCATAAAGACATACCATATCATACCTGTTCTTCTCTGTTTGCAAATAAAAGCTACAAGTACTTATGAAACAATGGTTTTCTTAAGAAAATGGTAAGGAAGAATTTTTATCCTTGTTTGAACTTTAAATGTGGGTGTTGTTTAGCAGAAGAAGGGGAGCTGGGGGTGGGAGGGATGGGGGTCTAATTGTAGAGGGAATGATCAACAAGGCAAAGTTCACCCTGAGGAAAATAAGCTGGAATCATAATTAATCCAACACAATTCAAATTTATCAATGCTTTATTTTTACCACAGATTCATGGCTTGCTTTCTTCATGGATTTTAAAACAACTAGCCTGCGTCGCAGCAGACACACTAAACCGTGTTTATATCAATACTACACGCAACACATGGGCCAGCTGCAACACTGGCTAAAAACAACAGGATATTTTTCAAATTATTTTCCTATTCCAGTGAACAAGGCTGTCAACAACAGAAAGCTAAGCAGGCTCACTAACAGCCCATCAGGATTTTTTGAGTCCTGCACTTCACCTTTTAAAATGCCCCTATTTTTTACAAGAAACAATGTCTCTGATACTCATGCCAGTGCTTATGAGATCATCACCAGTATTTAAGTAGTTGCGTTCCTTTCCTTCCTGTTTTGATTGAACCAAAAACTTGCAGTATTCATAAATTCCTCATACTCCTTAAAAGTCATTTTCATTCTTGTAGTGCATGACCTTCTACCTCTCCTCTTCCAGCTTTGTAACAAGTTAACTTTTTAAAGCCTTGTAACCACTATTTGTCAGAATTATTTGTGTCAGCAGCTGAGCTGTCGATTGATTTTGGGATCACTTTAGCACTTTTTGACTTCCTTTTCCTCCCCTGCAGGAACTTTGTTTTTCGCTCTTCTAGCTTTTTCTTCCTTGTTTGTCCTTTGCCCCCTCCCCCGCAAGTTATCTCGACATTTATTTTTCGTCCATCTAGTGTGCTGTGGTGTAGGTTTAGAGCTTTCTGTGAAGAAGGGAATAAGCAAAATTACTCAGGATTAGCATATATAATACTCCAGAGTTATAATCATAGAAAGGTGATTTATGTCCTGCTACCTAGGTATCAGTATATTATTTGAATAAAATGAATATAGTGTGTTTAATGTTATCAGCAATATTAATGATGACTTAAAATTAACATTATTTCTTAAATGTTAAAAGAGCAATAGGCAGGGGTCCTATTTTAGCTAGGATGCCTGGTGTGAGACTCAACCTTTGGTAAGTACATATTATATAAAAATAGATAATAAGTAGTGTTAAAACAACTCTACTATCATACATTCATGCCTTGAAAAAGTATACACATATTTTAGACAGCATTAGAAAATAATCAGCTGTTAAAGAGCTGAGGGAATTAGGGGAGGGAGGAGCCTTTCTGCCGTATTCCTGGGTTTGAACCTTTCACAGCTTTATGTTCACTTGGAGGACAGAGCAAACGACTTGCAAACAAAAATTTGCGACTTAATTGACCAATCAGGTCGATATCCAGAGTTTAATAGCATCAACTGATACAACTCTCCTTGACTCTGAAGATGACTACAGCACAGGTTGTCCAAACATCAGTCGCTGTGAACAACAACAATCCTATTCAGGACAACATTCACCCGAACAATCATACTCAACCTACTTATAAATATTATATCGATCAGTCTGTGCTTGGTAGAGCTGGTAGGAAAGAGCCTCTGGTGCAGTGACCAGAAGAGTTGTTTTTACCTCAAGAAAGGCTCCTTTCACTTACCCAATAACTTTCCTTGTTGTTAAACTCAATGAATCCACATCCTTTTGATTCTCCTGTCTTCTTTGTCATCAGTCTAAAATCCTTTATGCTACCTAGTCAGGAAAAATAGAGACATGCTGCCTAGTGAGGATGTTTACTTAAAGTATAGTAGATCTAGGTTATGCACAAGGATTTTTCTTGAGAAGAGTTCCTGGGAATATTTTTTGTATTGGTAGGATGCAAAAAATCATGATGTTGTAATCACTAAATAATGTGTAAAGTTATAAGAAAAACAAACAAGCAAGTTTTGTATTGTACCTTTACCAGTGCACCTAAAATGCCACTTGACATCTTCTTCTTTGACTGTGTATGGCATGTTACCTGTGAAACAGCATGTCATGTTCCTCATTATTAATATTAACTGTGGCAAATTTCACAGTTTAGATGTGAATAGTATTACCCTTGCAGATTGAAAACTTCACTCTCATACCAAGAACTCAGGGTTGAGGACCAATCTCTAAAACCTGGACACAAAAATGAGCTATTCCAGCCAAAAAAATATACTTTTAAGTGTACTTAAAAATAGAATCAAACCACTGAAAGAAAATGAAGAGTCCATATGAATGATTGTACTTTCCCTGAATTTTCTGATTTTGGAAGAAAAAACACTGAGATTTCAAATAGAGCTCTTAAATCCATCAGGGGTGTAATTTATTGTTCATTCCTTGAAAACTTTGGAACTGATCATTGAAGCATCTCAGAAATCTTTACCTTTGATATGATTGTGTCCTTTACAAAAATCCTGGCACTTTTAGGATAAAAATCTCAAGCCTTAACAAAAAAAACATTGACAAACATGTTTTTTTATATGTGAACGTGTAGTTTCAGAAAATATCCATAGACTTCCATGAAGGGTCATAGGAAAGACCAAAATAAAAGGAAAGACCCTAAACTGGAATATCCATAAGTGGGGAGGGGTTCAAGCCCCCGACCCCCTCCCTGTGTGTACTTAGGACGTACACACCTAGCTAAATCACAGAAGTCTTACCAATAAAAAGAATATATCTTTTGTCTTGTTTTCCCTCATTCTCGGTTTTGCTATTGCTGTCATCTTGAGCAGAAGCTCCTTCCTCTGGAATTGCTTTCTCTTGAACATCTTTTTTCACCTTTTTCTTATACCCTGAAAAATATGGAGAATGTAAGTAATAAACTACCAACTAGCAGCCTTTAGGGGTTACTACATTCAAGGGGGTCATCACTTTCAGGTGATAAGCTCTGGAGCTTTTCTCTCAGTTCATTCTCTTGTCTTTTGAGCAATAACAAAGAAAATGGAAAAGAGTCAATTCTAGGGTCAGGCTTCCTTCTGGAAGTAATGTTACTTTCAAAGGATGTTTGCCTTTTGCCATTTATTAGCTTACACCACTTTTTAACTTTCCCTTTGTTATTCACTGCTTTCATGCTGCCTCCAGAGACTCTTGTGTCCTTGGTGCACAAAATTACAAATTTGAGGAAGAGGGGCTCAAAGGGGTTATTGTGTGATATGGGATTAACTGCTTTTAATTTTCATGAAAAGTGAAAATAATAAATTTAAATCCCTGAATAACTGTCCTTTTTCTTCGCAAATGTTTGTAAAACATGAACATGGAATTGTAATCACCGTGATGCATTATTTCTATACCTGCCAACTCTCACGCCTGTGGGCTGAAAACCTTCGATCTCACGTCGGCTCACGCTTGGGGGCCAATTTCTCACGCCTGATTGAAAAATGTGAGTTGTTGCCGTCTTGCTTGACACAATTTCCAAAAATATGTTAACTCAGACCCATGTAAGGAACGAAAACCATGTGTAAAATGAATAAATGACAATACCTTCCTCGCGATCTCTGATTTTGTGGATAAGCGTTTTCTCGATAACTTCACCTTCGGCAGACTTCGGACTTCTACGGAAAACTTCAGACGTCTTCGGCAGACTTCGGACTTCTTCGGAAGACTTCGGACTTCTTTGGGAATCTTCGGAAATGATCGTGTTGTCTTCAGAAATCCCAGCAAACCCAGGATAAAAATCTCACCCTTATATCTCAGAAAAAGTTGGCAGGTATATATTTCTACTTTAAAATGTTTAAGGAATGTGCATAGGTCCCACCCCCTGCCCCTTACTCCCCTTGAAAAAGTCTTGGAGTTCCCACCTGAGCTTGGTTAGAACATCAAATGGATAACATTAGACCAACAGCCTTATTGAAGTCATTCTTTTAAAACTTTTATATGCCCTAATAGTAATCAGCATCAAATTTCTCATTGCTCTCTAAATGTTTTATATAACTAATTGGTGATGAGAAACAGGACATGATCACACAAGATGAATTTATTTTGTTTCTTCAATGTAACTTCTTCCCACTATTTTTATTGCAAATGTTTATTTGGCTTTTTAAGGATTAATAAAATACAATTTTAAGTTACCTATATGAGATTTCTTTCTTATTTTCTGATTCTCAGGCTTGTGATTCTGCCACCACCTAAAAGTAAATAAGCTTACCATCATGACATTGTACCCGTGCCACCTTCTCTATATTAAAATACTTGTACAGATATAAAAAAAATATAGAAAATAAGAATTACCTCGACAAGATCAAGAGGAAGTACATCAGAATAATCACTTCATTCTGCTCATTACTTTTTAATATCATTAGAATAGAAGGGATTTCATAATCTTGAATAGACTGACTTGTTGGAATTAACATTACGGTATTATTTCTAACATGAAAATCACCTGTAATCCTAAGTTAAGCTTTTCACTATTTAGAAGAAAGATCACGGTTGATGTGTGTATTATACACCAGTGCACAGACCTATTTTTGGCAGCAGATAAGAGCCTACAGGCTGAGGTTTTACAGGGAATATTATAATACTAACACTCACTCGATTCTTTTTCGTTTCCTCGGTGTCATAGACTGCAGATCTTCCATCTTGAATGTAAGGAAGTGAAATTTGTGTTAAATTCTCATATATAATGTCTGATCTAGACAATAACAATTATTTTAATACTGTTAGATTTTGTGCGCGTGGTGTCCGCCATGTTGGACGGGAGAATCTGGATTCTACTGCATTATTTTACAATCCCAGCAACCTTTGCAGGATAGACTTCAATATGGCGGGTGGTTGACATCAAAAAACAGTCAAGAGGAAAAAGATCATATTTTTGCCATGGATCGTGAATTTGACGTTTTAGGACAATACCGCACCATTACTTCCAAGTTGAAAAGGCGTTTCCTCAAAAAGCCTAACGTTTCTGAATCAAGTAGTCAATTTGGTGCTCTTGCCAAGGAGCTGAAAAGACAAGACTGTCCACAATATGCAGGTTTCTGCAGTCTGGCCAAAGCAAGGTGTGAAAATACGCTCTCAAACGCGACCGGGGAAGTCGAAGCACTTACCGAAGCGGCAAGATTGTTTTTAGAAGCGGAGAAGAACTGCGTAGAACTTAAATGCCCGGCGTTCGAGGAACACTTGACTGAAGCAATACATTTGTTTAATCAAGCTATTAAGATCCACTGTGCCCAAGGGAACTCGGCTCTAGGGGCTTGTTTGTGTCTGGAGATAGGAGACGCCTTGAGATACATGAGCCGGCCCCACGAAGCTATGGTCCACTATCAGCATGCAGCGGAGTTACAGCATCAGAATCCTATAGATGCTCTGCAGTCTATGACATTAGTGGCATCATGTAAAATTGATACAGGTAGATAATTTAATAACCTGAGGCATGTTAAACAATCCACCCTATCAATGGGTAATGGAACAGTTTCACTTACTCAAAAGTGGTTCTTAAATGTTGCTTTGATCAATGTTATGCATGGTTAAATTCTATTTGCTCCAGACCAATACCCCACTCCCACCCCCCACACCCCCACCACCATTACCACCACCACCAAAGGATATGCCTTTTTTCTTACATGGCAGTCTTTTCCCTCCCCACCCCCATAAATGCAGAAAGGAAGAATTCCCCACCCCCTGGGCTCCTCATCAACCACACATACTTTGTTTTGATAACAGTATTGATTACCATATAATTAGCAAATCAAGATGTTTTGTAATAAATTGATGATAGCATTTTAAGTGAAATTGCCTCAGGTTTGTTTTTCATAAAATACAGGACTGAGATCTCTTTTTAATAGGCCATACATCCATTTTCATAAAGATATATATTTCCTTCCTCTCCACCTGTAGGGAGGGCAGAAATATGGCTCCCCTAAAAACATTGGTGCTTTTAGGTAGGTTTCCCAGGAGTGGGCATTAGAAAAAGGGCTAGTAGGCTCACTCAGTTGTTTCAAAATTGCTGGGATTCTGTGGCTCATACAACCATTTCCCCCCTATTCAAATTCTTCCCCATTGGATTCTTTAGTTGAGATGCAACCGGAATAGACTAAGGTTATTTGTATTTCAGGTGATTTTGATGGTGCTCTGTCTGTGCTAACTGAGATGGCTTATTTTGCTGAGGAACGTGGATCTGTGAGCCAACCCCATGGCAAGTTACAAGGTCCATATCAAGAAATCTTAGCACATTGTGAAATTGGACGTGTCCTTCTTCTTATGTTACTGCAGCCCACACCTCAACGTATTCGTCCTCAACATGCTCAGATACTTGAAAAATACTCTGAAGGCAATGTCACTGGGCACCCTGTAGAATTTATGAACAAAGATTTGTTTCTGTTGCTTCAGTCTGTGGTGATGGTTTGTCAGGAAGGAGATGCATGTGCTCTGCAGGATCTTGAAAAAGATCTATGGACTTATCTCAACCCTGAGCAACAGCATCTTCTTCATTTGATTACCCTAAAAATGTCAAACAAGGAACACTAAGGCAATTTGTAGACTAGCTTGCATAGCGTATACTTGGAAGTAATAAGCAAAACAGAACGGGATGTGTGACAGAGTTATGTGAAGGGAGAGGGAATACCTGCAAACAAAGTAATATTTTGCCCAACATTTCTGATCTAACCTGACAAATACTATCGAACAGAAATTATTAAGATATGTTTATTAGTGATCAAAGTTTTTCAGAACCAATAAAATAGTCATTTTCAAGTAGAGTAGAATAATATTATTCAATAATATGATTATTGACAGTGAATGCCTCCCACAACTTGGATTTGGAAAAGAGCATAATAAATAGCCTTCAAGCAAGCTCTCAGTTTGAGGGAGTCCCAAAAGGAGCAGTGCACGAAAGGAGACATGAGTTCCCATGGCTTCGTTGCACACTCACACATTGTCTTGTGGCTTTGCTTCAGGCTACGTTATTACAAGAAGTTATGTGGGCCATATTGGTGTGTAATAAGCCAATCCTGTGAGAGTTAATATAAACTCTTTTCTTACATCGGCACTCTCCAATCTTTTGATCCAATAAACTAACATAACCATAGCTCAGGTAATTGAAAATAGTACATACCCAACTCTCATGCAAGGATTTAGCTAAGAAAAAGCTAAGCAGGCTTTGTTTTTAGTCAAGCTGGCTTTTTTACTCAACTGCTCAGTGTTCCCCTCAATTTTAGCTCAGCATGTAAGGAGCCATTCATGGCCAGTAAGGCAAAAAAATATGCACCAGAGGTGCATTTTCCTGGGAAGGGGGGGGGGGAAGGGGGTAGTGGAGTGAGGGACATGGCCCCGCCCTCACTGGGAAATTTAGGAGCTACGTTCTCTGAAACGTCACTCCCTTATTTAAGACCTACCGTAAAATTCCAAAAATTAGCCCCTCCAAAAATAAGCTCCCCAAACTCGTAATACAAAAACACCTCCGTTATATTGCCCCTCCAAATATAGGCCCCTGGGGGCTTTTACTTGGAAATTGTCCTCAAATACAAAAAACAAACAAACAAAGCAAAAATGGCACAGTACCACTTAAATTTTTTATTTGCCAAAGAACTATTATGTGTGCCAAAGTGATTAGAGTCAAAAAGTGTTACAGTTTATTGCTGTTTATATAGTTCACTCTTCATTCTTGACTTGGGTTTCTTTTTGTTGAGACTCATTTTTGTGTGTGAACAGTATTCCGTACTTGATCAATGACATTACTCTACCTTAGAACCAAGTATTGCGTTCAATAAATGAATTTGTGGTTGTGTTTTAAGTTTGCATGGCTGAGTTTTAAGAAGATCCATGTCCTCACGGCAAGTTCTGTCGGTAAAAACTTCGTACAAATTACTGACATAAATTTCCTTCCAACTATAAGCTACCCCTATCAATTTTGAGACACAAATTTCCCTCTGTGTATAAGCCCCTTTCGAATATAAGCTCCTCCAAAGATAAGCCCCTCAAAAAGGGCCTTTGAAAAATATAAGCCCTGGGACTTATTTTCAAAATTTTACAGTGTGTCACGCAAATCGGCCATTGTTATCTTTACACAGCAATTCAAAACGTTTGATTTCAAAAATTTTATTCCGTCTTAATGTTCTCTTTCCAAAATGTGTGGCCCATAAAAAGAAAAGCTGTGTATACTTTATTACTTTTCCATATATTCATTCTGGCATTTCCTAGTGAGAATTGGATTGGATCACAACTTGCTTTTTTTTTAAAACTATTTATTGTATTTTAGTAAATCTTCAACTGGTTGATAAGAAGTGTTGCTTCAGGCGGTACCCGGTTACCGCCTGATAAGTAGAGCACTGACTGCTTCTTCAAATTACCCCCTGTCTTTGTTTTCCAGAGCAATTTGAACCAGTGATAAGCTCTTTTTCAGCCGAAGAAATTAGCCGGCTTCCAGCCCCTAGCAACATCCCTGCTCCCATAATCCCTGGAAACCTTAAAAAACATATGTACATCATACCATTCTTTTAAGAAAAGCCATAAATGGCAAGTTTATTTCAGACAAACAAATAACATTGCAGGTTTTAATATGAGACAATTAACAAGTAAAACACATTACACATGAAGCACAACAATGAAGCAAAACACTGCATGCATGGCCACCAGGAGTAAAGTCAGAAATATCACCACAAGCTGTACAGCTGGGCTGCTGGAGACTTCCTTGATGGGCTCTATTGGATTTTTTCTATACAATGAACTATTTTTTTTCTTTTTATTTCTCAAGGTCAGGTAAATCTGCAGAAGGTGGAAATTCAAAATATACCTGATTAGCTTTGACTGAAAAAAGCTTCAAATTATTAAAGTTTAGCCCGCAAACAAAGCCAATATTTCAAGATGCCACCACTGGCTTCCCTGTGAAATGATGTCTGAGGAAGAAGTGCACAAATTCCATACTGATGAGGTGTCACTACCCAGAAAATTTGCTTCAACCAATCAGAAGCACCACACAGATCTGGGTAGTGATGCATCATCAGTATAGAATTTCTGCAGTTGTCATTTCATGGGGAAACCAGTGGTATGTAAAGTTTATAAAGGATAGAAGATGAAAGAATTTTACCATCATCATCGCTGTCATCTGATTCACCAGCATCTCCTGGGTCAAAACCCTGCAAAAAAGTAATGAACAAGTTAGTTTTATAATGGTTTGAACTTAAGAGTCACAGCATGAGTAGACTGAATAACTCATACAAAAATTGTCTAAAAATGCCCTTCTAGCCATCAGCTGTCACCATCTGGCATCACCATCAACCTTATTGTTATCACCCCTGCCAACATCAATGTCGTTATCACCATCATCACCATCACCATCATCAACATCGTTGTTATTGCCGCTGCCAACATTAGTGTCATCATCACCTTCATCATCATCAACATCGTTGTTATCACCCCTGCCAACATCAATGTCATTATCACCATCATCATCATCACTACCATCATCAACATCGTTGTTATCACCCCTGCCAACATCAATGTCATTATCACCATCATCATCATCACTACCATCATCAACATCGTTGTTATCGCCCCTGCCAACATCAATGTCATTATCACCATCATCATCATCATCATCATCATCATCATCATCATCATCATCATCATCATACGCTTGAATAGTGGTAATACTTTTTTTTGTACCTTCTTCTTAAGTGTTGGTACGTAAGTACACTTGTATGGTGGTAGTACTTGGCACCTTGTTCGTACATTGGT